GGGTTCGATCCTCAGCATCACATACAAAGATGTTGTGTCCGCCAAGAACTAAAAAATAAATATTAAAATTCTCTCTCTCTCTCTCTCCCTCTCACTCAGTCTTTAAAAAAAAATGAGTCTTATTTGCTAACCATCTAAGAATTAACATTCATCTTGTAAGAATAAAGAGGTAAAGCTAGGTGCTATGACACATGCCTCAAACCCAGCTACTTGGGAGGCTGAGGCAAGAGAACTAAAAGTTCAAGGTTAGTGAGTCCTGGTCTCAAAAAAAAAAAAAAAAAGGGGGGGAGGAGGAGGAGCTGAACAGAATCCTTCCTTTTCTAAAAGGAACACTTTGTTTAGATATAATTTAACACTTCCCTCTTTACATTTTAAAATATTTAGAAATTTGATGTAAAAACCAACCAATGGTAATTTCAGTTAAGTAAAGGTTTATGAAAATACCTTTGAAGTGTGAGGGTTAAGAAAGAAATTATTTCTAATCACAGCATTAGAAGTCATTGCTAAAAGATACGGGGTTTCTTTATGAAGTTTTATTCCAAAAGATCCGATCATATGACCTAAGTCAAAGAGACACAGATTTTATTTTACTGTTATATACAGCCAGGGCTGGCAACCTTTTTTGTAAAAAGCCAGACAGCAAAGATGTTAGATTTTGCAGGTCATATTATTTAGTCTCTGTTTTGTTTTGTTTAGCAACCCTTTAAAAAATATAAACCCATTCTTGGCAGGCTTTAAAAGAAGGCAGCTATATGCCAAAATCAGGCACATAATCCACAGACCCTTATACAGAAGAAAGGCAGTTCTCAACTACTAACTCTCCCAAACACAACCACCTCTCTTGCAATTTTAAATAATTTCAGATACAGCAGGAATTAGGGGTTCAAAAGACTGTAAGTAGAAGATCTAACTTTTCAAAAAGTGAGTTGATAGCTCAGAGGGCCCAAGTGACTTGCTTATTATACCATAAAAGCCAAATGGACACTTTCTCTCCTTCCCTTGCCATTTCTGGAATGCTTGTTCAAAGCTGAGGACTTCCTTTAAAATAAAGTACATTGGAGCTTTACTGCATTTGCAGCTTAAAATATCTGTTTTACCAAATATTTTTTTCACACATTCTTTTTAGCATGTTCAAGAAATTCACACTAAAATAAGAATCATGGAAAACCTGTAATAATTTTTTTT